AAAAAAAAAAAAAAAAAAAAGGAAGCGAGTGGAGAGAGGAAGAAAGTTCAAGAAACATAACATGGGAACGACATGAGATCCGGTCTCAGCACTCACCAGCAGAGCAGACTGCTAGAGAACAGCGCAAGAGGGAAGTCAGTAAGTGGGCTGCAGATAGAAATGAGTCGAGGAGCAGGCGTTGCCTATGGTAAGTGGCCATCGCTGTCGATCAGACAGAACTGGTTCGGGTGTGGACTGTCGAAGCACCGCAGCCAATTCTTTTCTTCTTCTTCATCTTCTTCCTCTGTTTTTTTTTGTGAGGTGAAACATTCCAATTCTTGAAGTTGCCGTTGGTCGATCTAATGGACGACATAGACAGACGTCACAGGCAAGGGGGTTCCCACATGGTACGAACACAGAGGCACGCCAACCACAATTGTATGGGCACTGGGCACCGCCATCCTGGGCCCTGTCTATAAATGCCACGGGGTGGTGTACATGGAGTATGTGATAATGATCCCTGGTCCGTGCCATGCCAGGTGGTGTACCCGCAGTACAAAACCCATTTTTGCGCCAGTCTTGTCGACTTTGTGCCATAAGATGCAATTTGAGAGAGGTCCATATCTGTTACTAATCAGTTTAATATCTGATCCATTGGTCCATCAGGCCACATGATATTAAATTATTTTTTTGTAGGGGTACGGTGGGGTCATATGGTAAAAGCTTGCTTAGTCGATGCCCCAGAGCTGCCTCTGTATTGCACTGCGGCAGAGCGCAGCTCGCCCAATTCTCCCCTCCGGGCCTCCGGGGGGAAGGGGGGCTGTAAAAAAAAAAAAAAACAGAACCTTACTGTCCTGGCTCCTTTTCCATTGGGGAGCATCAGTCCGGTTCCTTTTCTTTTTTTTTTTCTTTTTTTTAAACCACCAGTACCTCCGAGTCTGTTTTTGCCGACCCTGATTTTTGCTGCGCGCCGTCTTTTTCCGAGGCCATGTCCCGCGGTACCTCGTAGGCCGTGTTGTTGTTTTTTTTGTTTTCGGAAATGGTAACGTTTCCACATGTGGCCTGGACTGGACCGGTATGGTCCACCCGACGGACACAAGTATGGGCGGGGTCCCTGTGGCTGGTGGTATGTTTCGTGGCCTGAATTTTATTTATTTATTTTTTATTTTTTTGTATACCATTTTTTGTTGTGCGACCAGCGTGTCGGTTCGGCGGCGACCGGTTTCGTGGAACGGACGGTGGTCGTTCGCGCGGTGGCCGAAGGACGGGCAACAATGTTTGCCATCGCCGCCGACGCGTCCCGATCTACCACGTGTGTGTGCTTGTGTGTGCGTGTGTGTGTGTGTGTGTGTGTGTGTGTGTGTGTGTGTGTTGACCGAAACTGACTGTTCATCCAATCGACGTGCCGGGTGACATGATGTTTGCCCGTTGATTGGCTGTACATACAGCATGGCACTAGTCTCTCTCTCTCTCTCTCTCTCTCTCTCTCTCTCTCTCTCTCTCTCTCTCTCTCTCTCTCTCTCTC